ATACATTTATTTACGTTCATGGAATAAAAATTATACAGTGTGACATTCCAACATAACTAGATAGTATAAATCATTCATTCTCCGTTCATTCTACTGGTCAATGACATGCTATTATAGGTTTTAGTCTATAACCTTTAGGAATGCTTAATTTCATAGAGAGTTATACAATAGTTGTTATTCAGGCAACATAGGGAGTTTCCCTTAAATTATTTCACCTTTTCTGTTTATTTATTTTATTTTATACTCAGAAATGTATATATTTTATAGGCTACTATCCCAAATACTCCATATTTTTATGTAATGATATCTTGTTTACCTTTCTATAGAATCCTTCCTCCATCTGTAGGATTATTTATTATTGGTCATATTGGTGTCATTAGTTTTTTTCCAATTTTTGGCTAAAATATGTTTAATTGCCATTAGGATATGAACAATTAAGATTTTTTTTTTCATAATTACATTTTGGAAAATTCAAATGGAATAAAAATGTCTTACCTGTTGTAATCCTAATTTTAAGAATATACTAGAAATCTTTCTTTTTATTTCATTTGGTTCTTCACATTCCCACCACATATGAAATATTGTGCCCATTGCTTTAGAACATCTCCAACATTTATCTGAATAGTTGTTGTTACATTTTTTGATTCTATATGAGTAATATACCAGCGGTGAGCAATTTTGAAAAAGGTCTTGTGTATATGAATGCTGTGAATAATTTTCCTCAATTCAATAAATCTATCTCCCCAAGTTTCCAGTGTGAATGATTTATTTAAATTACTCTCCCATTTTGGATGGAATTGGGTTTATCCATAATCATCAGATCTTTAACCATGTATGTCACTTTAGAAATTTGTCTGGATTTATAGTGTTTGTTAATCAAATTTTCAAATTCTGGGTGTTCTCTAATATCTAAGGCATCTAATAGGTGTCGTATTCTAGTGTAGTTGTACCATTCTTGATTGGGCAGTCCAAAGTCAACTTGAATATCTATAACTGACTTAACTTCCCCCAAGGGAGCAATTTGATTTATGTTTAAATATCATATCCTATCCATTTTGATAGATCTATATTATCGATAAAAAAATCAATAACTTCCATTGGTGCAGAATAAATTAAGAGTGGTAAGTGTTTCATATAGAATTCTATTTGATGATGAAAACTTCCCATAATGTTCAGAATCAATCCAAGATAATTTAAATAGGGTATTACTTTTTTTTTTTTCCATATTTTTCCACCTGGGAACTAAACTATTAAAATTATCCCATTTTAAAAAGTGAGTAAACATGGTACAGTCATGTAATTCTATTATATCTGGAAGGCCACATTTACTCACTCTTTTAGTAAATGTATTTTATGAAACTCTAGGTATTTTATTCCCCCAGATGAATTTCATTAACTATTTTAAATTGTTCTAGTATTGAGTGTGATACTCTTATTGGTATGGATCGAAATAAATACATTATTTTTGGTATTACATATGCCGATATCGTATTCATGCGTCCCAACCAAGAGATTTCTAGCCCTTTCCAATTTTGAAAGTTTCCTTTAAACAATAATAGTTTCTTATAGTTTACTTCTACGATTTTATCTATGATTGATGTAATTAGGATTCCTAGATAATCTATTTTATCATTATAAAAATTCCACTTATATTTTCCCATTAGATGCCCTAGATTTTCAGAATTTATATTAAATGATAATATTTGTGTTTTGTTCGTATTTAATTTATAGCCAGAGCAATTGCCAAAATCTGTGATTAATTTCAGTAAATTTATCATTGAGCCTATGGGTTTGAGAGAGTTAGTATAACACCATCCGCATAAAGAGTGATTTTATGTTGTTCTGAATATATCTGCAGCCCTTCAATTTTATCATTTTGTCTGATTGCTACTGCTAGAGGTTCAATAGTTAATACATAAAGGAGTGGTGCCACAGGACAGCATTGTTAGGTGCCATTCCGAATATTGAACCGATCAGATACTATACCAGGACATAGAACTCTAGCCTGTGGGTTAAGACATTGTACTCTCTCTAAAAAAGCCTGTCAGGCCAGAGTTCCTAGAAATTTCCAGTTCACCCTGTCAAATGCTTTTTCTGCATCTAGCGCTACAAAAACAGATTGTATTTTCTGTAATTTTAGATGATCTATTATATTTAAGATTTTACGAATATTATCAGCAATATCCCTACCTGACACAAACCCTGTTTGCACTTTGTGAATGATATCTGGAATTACTATTTTCAATGTTTCTGCCAATATTTTTGAAAATATTTTTATCTCAAGGTTTATCAGAGAAATAGGTCTATAATTTGACAGGGTGTCACGGTCCTCTCCAGGCCTGGGAATCGGGAGAACATTGGCCCGAAGTAGTTCCTGTGGAATATGTTTACTATTTGAGAATTCAGTGTATAATCGTTTTAACAATGGGGAAACTATATTATCAAATGTTTTAAAAAAGATTGCAGAGAATCCATCTGGTCCAGGTCCTTTTGTGTGGTTTAGCCATTTTATTGTATTATGAATCTCAAATAAAAAGATAGATTTATTTAGTTGTTCTAATTCATTTGGATTGATTTTTGGTAATTTCCATTTCCCTAGAAACTCTAATTATATTTCATTTATTACTTCCCTGTTTCCAGTTTCTAGATTGTATAATGAGTTATAATATGCTCTAAATGCCTCTCCAATCTGTTTAGGAGATATAACTATTTTATCTCCTACTTTTATTTTACATACTCTATTTTTCTTTTTGAATTTTAATTTATTGGAGAGAAGTTTGTCAATCTTATTATTATTTGTAGACCAATTTTGTTTGATAAACATTAAATTTCTATCTATGTTTTCTTGTAGTTTGATTTTAATTAGATTTTGGATTTGTATTATTTTTTTCAGAAGTATTTAAATTTGGATTTTCTTTATTTATTTTCTCTAATTTGGTTAATGATATATAAAGATTTGATAAGTATTCTCTGCGTTTCTTTTTTACATATGAACTGAATTTTATAAATAATCCTCAGGTAAAAAAAAATAAATAAAATTGACGTCTCTCCATTATCATTAATTTCCACAAACTCCTCAACTTGCTTTTTCATCTTATCTATATCCTGTCCAGATTCATTCAGTCTCCATGTTGTTTGAGGAGAATATTCTCTATTATTCTCAAATTTTAAAAATATAGGTGCGTTGTCAGACTATGTTATTGATCCGATCCTTGAGGAAGAGCATTTATGTACCGTGTCTTGTTTGGTAACAAATAGATCTATTCTTGAAAATGAATAATGTACCTTTGAAAAAAAGGTATAGTCTCGTTCTTGGGTATGTAATACTCTCCAGATATCATATGAAGAGTAAAAAAAAAAAAAAAAAAGTCCTGAAGTAGGTTTGCAGCGTATTTAAATTGCGTGTCTATTTCTGCATTAGATAGTAATTTTTTGTCCAGTCCAACGTCTGGAGCACAGTTAAAATCTCTTCCTATAATTATAGTACCTTGAGTTATTTGATCTATTTATTAGCTTTCCAAGAAATTTTGTTGGAAACTGATTGGGGTAATATATATTTATTAATATAAATAGAATATCATTGATTTTACAAATCAAAACAGCGTATCTTCCTTTATTATCAATTTCCTCAAGGATCGGCTCAAATTTTACTTTATTAGAGATTATAATAGTTACACCTCGTTTTTTTTTCCCATTAAAAATATATGCTTGATAAATATGTGGATAATAAGATAATTTCCATAATTTCTTGGTTATATCATTCCAATGTGTCTTCTGGTCTTTTTGATTTTGGCATAAAGTGTGATACAGTTGGCCTCTTTTATATGGAGTGTTCATTCTCTGACCATTTATTGAAATAAAATTAATCCTTTTTTTTTAATGTTTGGAAACTCTCGGCCCTGCCCTATTACTTATATCTTGATACCAGTTCTCTCTGATAATTTTTAGTAACAAAAAACTTAAAATACCCAATAACATATAAATCATTCAATCAACATTCATTCATTAAAGAAGCACCATGTGTAATCAGAAATGAAATTTCCTAACCAACCTATTCTCAATTTAGGTCACACTAAAGGTGTACCAGCTTTTTTCCTTTTTTCCTTTCCTTTTTAAAAAAAAAAAAAAACTATTTCAGTTTCCATCTCTGTTTCTAATTCTCATTTCCTCTTTGATTCCAGTCTCAAAGAGAGAAAAACAAACGAACATAAAACATAAGAATCCATTTCATCCTCCTCTCTCTCTTTTCAAATTTTCTTTTTCTTTCCTACCTTCTTTTCCTTTCTTATCTTTTTACTTTCTTTCTATATGTAAATATAGGTCCCATTATATCACAGTGATTTTTCTAATCAGCTTTTTATCTTTTTAGTGTATTTTATAAATATATGAAACTTAAATTGTGCAAAATCTCTTCTTTATTGTGTAATCTTTTCTTGTTTTTTTTTTATAATTCTTTATTTTTGTAGTGCATACGTTTAGTACAGTTGCGCATGGGGTACCCCAAAGGCAATCCACCAGTGCATTGTCAACGTTTAAACAAAGAGGTACATGTGTAGTCTAGCACATTTTTATAACATTAAAGTATATTATGAACATTAACGACTTTCAATGTTTAGGCATATACATAACATAGCGTGACCTCGCTTCACTTCTAATCATGAAATTAAGATGCTGTGACAAGAGCTATGTTAAAGTTAAGTAAATAACCACTGGGGTTTGCGGTGTACAAGAGTAACTTCACTTGAGTATGTGAAAATATGGCAGGGGGCCTTATTCTTCATGGGGTACAGCAAGGATTAGCCGATCACCGTCTGGGCGTATTATTATTGTAGTGGCTAGGTGTGCTCTAGACGAAGATAAAGAAAGAAATGAAAAATAAATGAAAAGTCAGTGTGAACCCCTTCAGGCCTGTGCTAGCATGGCCATGGCGTGATCTGGTCACATAGAGCGCCACCCGGAATTGCTGGGCTTGGCTCTCGTGGGGTTGTGCAGAGAATGGTTCAGCCAATGCCTAGTGTTGGGAAGTCCCGGTCAGTGCCAATATGAGTCCATGCTTTGGGGTCTCCGGGTGTGATGTCTCCATACCGGGAGTCAGCTCCAGTGGTGCCTTGAGGGGGGAGCAGTCGCTCCAACCTTTGTTTTGTGGCGTCGCCCGCAGGAATCCGGATCATGCTGCACTGCATAGTATTGGTCGGGTCTGGAGGGTTCCCTGCGTGTGCCTTTTGTGGCATGGTCGCGGGTTTATGTGGTGGAGAGCAGTGGAGTGTTCTTGCGAGGCCCAGCGCCCCTTCCCGCCTTGGAGACCGCCGGTACCTGCATTGCCTGATGGTCGCTTTGGAGGCTCTGGGTGGGCGCCTGTACTGGCTGCGTCGCGCTGCTGGTCGGATCCATGCGGCAACCATTAGTTCTGCTTGGCGGTAGGTAGCCCCTCGGCTGTGCAGCGCCTCCCAGAATGTGTTGCATAGCCAGTCGAAAGTCCCTTTTGGCGGTGTGGGTGGCTCATTATGTGCTCCCCTCTCATGGTGTCTGCACTGGGCCGCCATATTGGAGGTATCTTGGTGGCCTGTTGCCCTTGCATAGCGTGAGGTGAACTCTTCCGTTTTTCGTTGCTTCCAGTGGGGACCGGGATATCCCCCGCCGGTCCATAGGGGGGGGGGGGAAGCTGTATGAGCGTTGCTCGGGGCACCCGGTGCGGAGGGGAGCGTCCGCCTCCCCCCGGCTCCAGCCCCAGTAGGCCTTAGGCCGATCTCCGCTTTCCCGGCTCCGACAGGTCCCGGGGTTGTAGCCATCGATTCAGCGGTGCACCCCCGACGTGTGTGGTGCACCTTCAAAGGACCTTGGGCCATATAGCCTCCGCTTTTCCCCGTTTGCGGCCCGTTTGTCGGGAGCTCGTGGCAGGCACGTCTGCACGGCTCAGTGTCCAGGCTCCGCCCCCCCATCTTTTCTTGTTTTTATATTTTTCTTTTTACAAGGGCTTATTAACTTTATCATATATATCTTTCACTTTTCCTTTTTTTTCTCTTTCAGTCTTATTATAAAATTTACCCCATAGCATCATAAAATTGTATTATCTTTCAAAACTCATTTACTTGTGTGTTTTGTTTTTATATGTGTAGGTGCACTATCAAAAACCTGTTATCTATCTATAGTGACATAATTTAAGTACATAACCCTTACATACACACCAAGCAAAGGGATCTTTTAAATTCTTTAGATTCTCTTATCTTTAATGGATTTTATTAGGGAGAGGGAGGAAGAAATGGAGGATTTTTGAATTTCAAACTCTCACATCCATACTTCTTATCATTATGATTTAAGACTATTATTTAAATTGAATTTTCAATAATATCTTTCCTTTTTGCATCTTCACTTCTCTCTTACTCTCTATCACCTCATTACTCTCCCTCATTCATCCTCTCACCATATTAAGATTATGGAGAGAGAGAGAGAGAGAGAGAGAGAGAGAAAAGTCAATCTTTCTTTCTCTTCCTTTTTATCCTTTCTTATCTCTGTAAGATTTCTGTAAGTAGCTTTCATTTTATCAATTGTTCTTTTGCTTGTAGAGGATCCAGAAAATTATAAAGTATTTCTTCAAACTTTATTATTAATCTAGTTTGGAATCCTCATTGATAGTTTAATTTATTTTGTCTTTAAATTGATGTTAAGTGATGGAATCGCCTTCTTGCTTCTAGTGTTGCTGCTGAGATGTCTGAGAAAAAAAGTATATCTTTGTATTTTTCATGTTTGGGTGGAGTTTTCCTGATTTGTTTCATTATTGTATCTTTCAAATGGTAATTTGCGAATCTCACTATAGTATCTCTAGGGGCAAATATTTATTTTGGCTTTCTTAGCTTGTGGTATCTCTCTAAGGGATGTGCCCCATACAAGGATAAATCTGTAATTGTAGAGAAGAGATTAAATATGTTTCAAGTTGTTGATTCATGATATTTTCAGGAATCCCTCTTATTTTTAGATTTTTCCACTTAATCTGTATTTTTGATCTGTTATCTTTAATTCCAAAGATTGAATTTTAGATTTAAGTTAAAGATTTTCATTTTGGATTTCCTTAAAATCACAAAATTTCATTAGTAGATCCTCTTGTGAAAGTTTCTGAGTTAAGGCAGATGTTTCATTTTTTAATTCCATTGCATTCAAATCTAAATCATTTTTCATTTTTGTATATAAATTATCCATCATCAGTAATAAGGAATCATGCGAAAGAGGTAGATTGGGTGTGTGCTCTTCATCTTGTGTTATTTCATCAGAGTAGCCTAATTTTTTTAGATTCTAGTGATTTCAATAACTTGTTTTACATGTTTCATTAGTTTTTAGAGAACAAAATAGGTTAATAGATTTATTTTTGTCGGGGATAAGGATTTTTTCTTTTTTAGGAGCCATTGGAAAAAAAAAATTCCTTCTCTTTTTTTTTCTTCCTTTTTGTTTTCCTTTTCCCTCTTTTCTCTCCTTTCTTTTTTTGCTTATTCCTTCCCCTTTTCCCTTTTCTTCTTCTTACACTCTCACTCTTTCTTCTTTTCTCTTTCTACTCTTTCCTCTTTTCCCTTTCTCTTCTCTTCTTGCCTCCTTTCTTCGTTTTCTTTCAATTCTTTTTCTTTTCTTTTTTTTTATTTCAGTGTTATTTAAGCAAATTATTTCCAAATCATATAGTCATAAAGTGTTGAAATATATACAAAAAAGAGAACCCCCCCCAAATCTTAATTTTTCCTTCTCCCCTTACCTTCTTTGTCATTCCTCTCACTTCTTCACCTTCCCATACCCTAATGCTCCTAAGGAGCTACTCACAGTACTGTTGTGTTATTCTTTTTTTTCTTTTCAATGCTTTAATCAGCACCACACTTCACAGTTTTGCGATTTTAGCGAGCTGGCACACTGCACTTGCATCACACAGCAAGTCTTTTACTTGTGGCACTTGCTTCTCTTTGTATCCGCAGCAATATTTCACTCCTGCTGTGTATCACTCTCTCTTATGTGCTAACGTCTGCCACTTTTCCTCATTGCTGTACATGACAGTGCTTCCTGTATCCTTTGAGATTGCTCTGGCGTGGTTAAACAGCAAGGCTGTGGAGGACTTCGGAGAACTATGAGTGTTCTTAGGATTAAAGGGAAGGGAGGTGAGTTATGGAGCGTCCATATACTCGAGACTGGGGTATATAAAGGTAAGCAGTCAGATTTCATAGCTCGCTCAATATTTTTTCAGAGATGAAAACTGAGTAGTTGCCATGAAAAGCCAGACTTGTCCTCAGAGTGTGCACGCTCGTACCTTACGTCATCACGCCCCGTGAGGATAAATAATAGATGGGGATTCCCGACTAACTTAATAATTTCATTTGCAGATCAATCTATCATCATGAATGATCGTATAAAAGATTTATCCAGACTCAAAGATATAGGTATTATAGATTAGCGGTATCATTATAAAGCACAACACTTATGTAGACATAATATTATGAACTAAAGAAGATGGAATTATATAATGGTGTGATTAGCATAGATCACTTTGGTGTAATTGTAATTAATAATTAGTTTAAGATATGTCATTTATTTAAAGAATTTATAAGCAATATATTTTATTATAATTTTTTCTTCTTTGCCTGTGCTAAGGTTAGGTCAGATTTCTAGATTTCTAGTTCTACCGTAAATTTTTTATAATGGAATACAAATTTTTGTCACTATCACCACCAGCGTTTACCCCTGAATTAAGAAGGTGTATGATTGAATTTCAGGGGAACCGCCAGATAGGACTTTATCAAAGGCAGTGTATTGTATTGAGTTTTTGTATTTATGTTATGTTTTTTTATAATATTTTTTATTTATGCGTAAACTTGTATGGGGAATCATGTTGTGCTGAGGAAGCTGATGTGAATCATAAAAGATCGCAGTCTGTGAAAAATAGAGACAAATTTGTAAAAAGATTTAATTAAATAATGTTACTCAAAATAGCATCTCTAAATGCCCAAGGTTTGAATAACCCAAATTAAGACAGGTATATTGTATAAGAAACTAATAGATAGTTACATAGTTACATAGCTGAAAAGAGACTTCCGTCCATCAAGTTCAGCCTTCCTCACATATGTTTTTGCTGTTGATCCAAAAGAAGGCAAAACACCTAGTCTGAAGCACTTCCAATTTTGCAACAAACTAGGAAAAAATTCCTTCTTGACCCCAAAATAGTAGTCAGATTTCTCCTTGGATCAAGCATCTAATACCCCACTAATTAGAATATCCCTATGTTATGCTATCCCTATGTTATGTTTTTGCAAGTATTTATCCTATTGCACTTTAAACATTTATATAGACTCTGACAAAATTACCTCTTCAGGCAGAGAATTCCATATCCTTATTGCTCTTACTGTAAAAAAACTTTTCTTTGCCTTAGATGAAATCTCATTTCTTCCAGTCTAAATGTGTGACCTCCTGTCCTATGTATAGCTCTGTTTATGAATATATTTCCAGATAAAGGTTTGTACTGGCCCCGAATATATTTGTATACTAAACTAATCTTATTTTTTAAAATTATAGATCAGGGTGGTGCAGTAGACATTGCTTACCTAGATTTCAGTAAGGCTTTTGACACTGTTGCACATAGAAGGCTTATCCATAAACTGCAATCTTTAAGTTTGGATTCCAATATTGTTGAATGGGTAAGGCAGTGGCTGAGTGACCAGCAACAGAGGGTTGTAGTTAATGGAATATATTTGAAGCTTGGACTTGTCACCAGTGGGGTACCTCAGGGATCTGTACTTGGACCCATTCTCTTTAATATTTTTATTAGTGATATTGCAGAAGGTCTTGATGGTAAGGTATGTCTTTTTGCTGATGATACTAAGATATGTAACAGGGTTGATGTTCCAGGAGGAATAAGCCAAATGGAAAATGATTTAGGTAAACTAGAAAAATGGTCAGAATGTGGCAACTGACATTTAATGTGGATAAGTGCAAGATAATGCATCTTGGACGTAAAAACCCAAGGGCAGAGTACAGAATATTTGATAGAGGAAACATATGAGGAAAGGGATTTAGGGGTGATTATTTCTGATGACTTAAAGGTAGGCAGACAATGTAATAAAGCAGCAGGAAATGCTAGCAGAATGCTTGGTTGTATAGGGAAAGGTATTAGCAGTAGAAAGAGGGAAGTGCTCATGCCATTGTACAGAACACTGGTGAGATCTCACTTGGAGTATTGTACACGGTACTGGAGACCGTATCTTCATAAGGATATTGATACCTTAGAGAGGGTTCAGAGAAGGGCTACTAAACTGGTTCATGGATTGCGGGATAAAACTTACCAGGAAAGGTTAAAGGATCTTAACATGTATAGCTTGGAGGAAAGACGAGACAGGGGGGATATGATAGAAACATTTAAATATATAAAGGGAATCAACAC